GTAGATATTGTCTGCTTTGACCCATTACATATTGTTGTTACCTCACGGTTTTAAAATGTGTCTGCTAGAAAGAGGGTACAACACTTTTATAAGAAAAGGAATGTTTCGTTCCTCTCTCCAACTCCCAAGCCCACGATATTGTCTACTTTGACTCGTTATATATTGTCGTCGCCTTTACGGTTTTAAAGCACGTCTATTAGGGAGAGTTTTCTACATCCCTATAAGAAATGTTTCGTTTCCCTCTCCAACCTATTTAAGATCCCCACTTTGAAAGTTTAACCTATTAGACATTTTTTAAAGTTCGAGAATCTTTAAACTACAAATTTGAGCATTTAAGGGTTAAACTTATCATTTAACCTCAACGATCATGACGACTGTTTTTCCTTTACGTTAACTCTGATTGACCCGAACATAACTCTATTGGTTAAAACATTTATCATCGACCTAAAGACGGGATACTCGTATGATTTAAATTAAAGGGAAATCTGTGAGCAAAGAAAGCAGCTCCAAAAGTAGAGTGTGTGAGAAACCTTTTGTGGAAGTCTTTTATATTCTGCATGGCAGATTGTTGAAGCATCAAGGACAGTTTCTTTTCTCTTTTCTCAATCTTGATCAGTGTGAAAGAGATATCTTTTAATCTCAAGGACCATACAAAATGGTCCAAATCTTTTGCATATTCATCTTCATTCATTCAATTTTTGGTGGTTGGATCAAATATACCAAAGTATTAACGGAATCATATATGAATAATCTAATGTTTTGTTCAAATTTCCCGCTTAGCATATTCCGACAACGATTCATTTCTCAACAGTGTTCTTTCTAGAAACCCTAATTCGACGAGAATCCTATAATAGGTATTATTTGATTAGTAAGTAAGAATAAGGAAGATGGTTGATCTGCTGATCCACCTAACGAGAAAGGTTCTTAAGGACATTGTAGAGAAAACAAACTCGTTATCGTAATTGAGCTATCTAGACTTTCATTTCTGTATCTACGCTTTCGTGCATCAAATACTTAATACGTACCTGACCTCGATCATTGGTGTACAACTAAATCGTTAAAAAAAAAAAAAGCTAAGTGTCTAGGCGTTAACTTTTCTCGGATTTGACTAATTATTCAAAAGCTGATATTACAAACACAAAACACAAAACCACACACTTACATTACACTCTCATGAATAGAAGTCAGACATATTACATTAAACTATCCAAAAAAAGAGAAACCTCCATAGCCATAGCCATAGCCATATATAAAACCAGCCCCATGGTAAAATTCAAAGCTGAATTTTTCTGATCATTAATAAAACAAAGAAAAAAGAAGACCCAAAAAATTACCCTACTCTGTAAATTCCCCATTTTTTATCTGTGAATTTGATCAACTATGGTGAAAAAAAAACATAAAAAAAAGCTCTAATGGAATGTCATTGTGATGAGAGGAAGAACAGCTCTATATCTGGTGAAGCAAAGAAGGAGATTGGTGAAGGTTTTTGTGAAGAACAATTTGAAGTAATCCTTTGCTTTTTTGGAGCTGGTGGGCATATTTTGATCTCTGGGATTCTAAATCTCTCTGCTTTTGGAGTACTGCACTCTTCAAAATCAGAGCTTGAAGAAGCTGATTCTTCAATGGCGGCCATGGCGGCCATGGCTATGGAGCTTGAAACTTCAATTTCCTCTGTTCTTTTAGTACTCATAATCCTTCTACTTTGATCCTTCATTTTCTTGATCTTCTGGTTCTTCTTCAATTGGGTTTTTGCTGTTTTTTTTCCTCTGTTTCTTCTTCCTCCTCCTCCTTTGGACGCCATGGAAGTGAAATTTGGAGGTCTGAGTTGAGGTTGAGAGGGTGTTTCTTCTTGTGGGTTGTTTCAAAATGGTTTCTTTTTGTGAGATTTGTCACTTTGAGAAGGTTATGGAGAAACCCTTTTCAGGAAATTGGGAGATTTGGTCGGAGGGAAGCCATTGAAGAGGTGGGTTTGAGCTTGAGTTGCAGGTTTTGAGAGGTAAGAAAAAGAAGGGAGAGAGGGTTTGAAATGGAGGGATTTGTTATATAGTGAAGAGAGGGGAAACAAAGGGTTGTGTTTGGATGCTTTATGTCATTTTTTGAAATGTGTCATTATAGTTTTTGAATTTTCTTTTTCAATCAAAGGATAGAAATTGTCTTTTAGGTTAAAAAATTATTTTGTATTTTGTAAAATTATTAGTTTCGTTTCTCGATTTTGAGATTTGTGTCGATTTGATCTCTACATTTTAAAAATGTATCATACGTCTCTAACATCTTCGTATCTGTGTTTTTTTGGAATTTATCGTTTTGTGTGAGAAACCAAACCATCTAACTTAGTTATGCTTGAATGAATTAAATCTGGTCGAGAAAACAAATAATTTTAAGTAAGCAAACTAATTGAAAATTTTAATCTTTGTGCTAAGAAAAAAACATAAATGTGAGATCTCACATCGCTAGGAGAAGGGAACGAGTGTCAACGAGAACGCTGGCCCTAAAAGGGGATGGAATGTGAGACCTCACATAGGTTGGAGAGGCGAACGAAGCATTTTTTATAAGGGTGTGGAAACCTCTCTATAGTGGACGAGTTTGAAAATCTTGAGGGGAAGCCTAAAGAGAATAATATCTGCTGACTGTGGGCTTAGGCTATTACAGTTGGTATCAGAGCCAAACATCGAACGGTGTGTGAGAACACTGAGTTCCGAAGAGGGTAGATTGTGAGGTCCCACATTGATTGGAACGGAGAACGAGTGCTAGCGAGGATGTTGGGCCTCGATGGGAGGTGGATTCTGAGATCCCACCTCGGTTGGAGAAGGAGAACGAGTACCCACGAAGATGCTAGGTTCCGAAGGAAGGTGGATTGTGAGATCCTACATCGGTTGGAGAAGAGGAACGAGCATTAACGTCATCAGTTGAAAAGTGAAACGAAACATTATTAATAAAGGAGTGGAATCGTTTAAATATCAGACATGTTTTAAAAGTTTGACGGAAATTTGAAGACAATATTACAATAAAAATGCAATATTTTTTATTTTTAAGAACTAAGTTTATTTAGTTAATTTTAAAAATGGTTTTAAAAAACTATTTTTAAAAATTAAAATTTTAATATAACTAATAATTCAAATGTTTAGATTAAAAAAAAAATCAATAATTAAAGTGGATGGGTTAATATTAGAAAGTCAATGGGTAATTAATATGTTTTTCTTTTTAAGAAAATAATAAATTATTATATTACTTTTATAGAAATATTAAATTATAATTTCTTTTAAAAAATAAAGGTATCCAATGAAATTTATTAAAATTTAATACACTATTGAGAGTTTGGCAGGTAGCATTATCCACAAACACACACCTAAACCATAATGTGATTATTAAAATAATTAAATATCAATCTAAAATTAATTAAATTAAATATCCAATTAAACCCTATTATTCTAACATTATTATTTTAATCCCAAGGGAGCCTCCACTTCCATAGCTAGATTCCTTCCCTTATTTATTTATTTATTTATTTATTTTAGTCCTAATTAAATTATTCTATTTCTATTTATAAGATTTTAAAATATTTATTTATGTTAGAATTGTAAAAAAAAAAAAACAAGATTTTTTTTCTCTTTTACTTACCTAATTTAAATTATATACTTTCGTTAATAAATCTTTTATTAATATTTTAAATTGAATGCTATTTATTTAATTTCTGATTGGTTTGAAGACATTTAACTATGGTAAATAATTATGAAACGGGTTGGAGTGAATCGAGAGCATACCATTGTTACTATCTTCAAGATGTGACTAGTAACTTTGACAAAAAGTACCAATCGAAGTAACGGAAAGATTTGGTGTATCGCGAGTAGGAGTCCAACACCAAAGGCTCAAGTTTGTAAGATATATGAAAGAATTGAATCGATAAATCTTGAGTATCTTGATGCGAGATATATCGATTATTTATTAAATATTCAAAACCAATCACGAACCTATCAAATACAAAATTGAATGTAATAACTCAAGTTTACCGTTAGCAGTATTGTTTGTTTTTGCCTATTATATATCGTTGTCAACCTCACGATTTTAGAACGCGTTTACTAGGAAGAATGTTTCGTTCTCCTCTCCAACTAATATGAGATCTCACAATCCACCCCATTTGGAGCCTAACGTCCTTGTTGGCACACTGTCGTCTGACTTTAATATCATTTGTAACAGCCCAAGTCCACCAAACGTTGTCCTTTTGTAACAGCCCCAGCCCAAGTCTACCACTAGTAGATATTGTCCTTTTGTAACAACCTCAGCCCAAGTCTACCACTAGCAGACATTGTCCTCTTGTAACAGCTCAAGTTCACTATTAGACATTGTCCTTTTGACTCCAGCCCAAGTCCACCACTAGACATTGTCTTTTTGGACAGCCCAAGTCCACTACTAGACATTGTCCTTTTGGGCCCCAGTCCAAGTCCACCACTAGACATTATCTTTTTGGGCCCCAGCTCAAGTCTACCACTAGCAAACATTGTTCTCTTGTAACAATCCAAGTCCACCATTAGACATTGTTCTTTTGGGCTTTCCTTTTCAGACTTCCCCAAAGTTTTATGCTAGTAAGAGATTTTCACATCCTTATAAAAAATATTTCGTTCTCCTCCACAACGAATGTGGAATCTCATAGTATCGTTATAGATGAATGACAACAAATCTAACTTAATCGACTATCATTTTACAATGTCGAAGAAATGAGACAGTAATAAGTCATAATATTAGTTTAGATGCACAAATCATACCCTGTCGATTTCTGGGGTCCTACAAATTGAGTTTATTAAACTAAACGAGCTTCTTATTACTACTTGAGTAGAGCATTGAGGACCTAAAATCCACCCATTCCACATATCTAGAGTTGTGTACAACTACGTTACAAGATGTTTCTATTCAATTTGGATTACCTAAAGATGAAGAACATGAAACAAGTAGTACGCATGACAACAATTCATCATATTGTAATTTTCCAAAGTAGATCAACTTAGAAAACCCACCAAATTCAAGAAGCCGTCCAGATGAATTCGAGCATCAAAACAAAAATATCTAACATTCAGGCCCTTTTTTCTGGTGGAGAATTTTGGGCCTCACCAATTGTCTGGTTAAGATTCATCCAACTTCAAATCTCCCATAGCTCTCCTTTCCTCATTTCCCTCACATCCTCCCCTTCACCCTCCTTCTAATCTGCAGGTTCCTCAGATACCCATTTCAAGTCGACTCACAACGAGGGGGTCGACTTTGATTGGTGTATTTTCTCTGGTTTTAGCTTTCTAAAACGATGGTGGGAGCTTTATCCATCGTGGGTTCATCAGCGGTGGACTCTCATACTTCCCCATGTTTGTGTTTAGATGCTTTGCCCACAACGAGCAGTTCAATGGGTCGAAAGCGTTTGCCGAAACCAAAGCACTTGTATCTAAGCAGCTCGTTCGTAGATAGTGGCCGGGAGTGGCTGCTCTCGGCGGATAGGATAAACAGGAGCTCAAGGAAGCAGCACAAGAACAGAAGACTTATAGTTGTTGATGAACTTGGGGGGCAATATGAAGATACCTTTGACGATGTTAAACTGGTAAGAACAGAAGACTTGTAGAGTGTTCTCTTGCTTAAACTGGTACGATAGCTTAGAGTAATAGCATTAGCACATCTGTTCTCTTGCTTGCTAGTGCTTTTGAAAAATTAAGCTAGATACAAAGTAACTTACCCGCTGAATTATATCGATCAGTTGGTTGCTATGGACTGATTGCACGTAATGGGATTAACCTATTACTAGAATAACTTCCAATACACGGATTACAATTTTGACTGTCAAATAATCAATATACTCCTCCCAAGGTATGGAATAGCAAGTCAGATTGGTCAAACTTCGATTTTGATAAGTCAAGAACCGCATCATTCTGGCGGTTTTCAATACGTAGGAGTGAAAAACACCTTTCCATTGAATGAAATGTTGGCATGGGGTTTCTTTCAATTCCATTTTCATCTACTGAAAAGAGGGCCCGAAAGAGCTTACCAGATGCACCATCGACCGCAGCTCGACTGCGAGATTTTGACGCTAAAGTCGTTGGATGGGGTTAGGTGAGCTTCCTTTAACTTTTTTTCTTTCTTTGTTGCGTCTACGATTAGGAGGCTTAGTCAGGAAGTGGATTCGTGAACCATGTGCAGAGAGGGGGGCAAGGCTCCCATGGAGAGACAAACATCTTCACCTGTGTAGAGTAGATCATTCAACACCTGCAACACAAACTCATTTTTGACCAATTGGTCCTAGTATCATAGGCAGCTGCCATAACCACACTCGTAACTCAGTAAGATACACATGAAATACAACGGCCATCAGGTTGATGCATGGCAATGTTCTTTTAAATATCATGGGATATGCTTGAGACTTGAGTTTTCCATTGATTTTGTTCTGGTCAAGTTTAATATGATTTTGTTGTTTTTCCAGTTTCTTGAGATTTATCCTTCTCCCATCCTTTGCATACTCATTTGCCTACAAATTAATTACTGAACTGACTTTTCTCTGGCTGCAGCAAATACTTAATTATTTTACATACAAGGCTGTGAGGACTGTTATGAACCAGCTCTATGAAATGAACCCCCCACAGTACAGGTGGCTTTATGAGTAAGTGCCATCGTTTTTTACACATTGAGACTGGCCATTTTTCTGTGTTACAGGAACCGGGGTCAGTTTACAAATAGTTGCAGTATTTTTTGTCATGGTAGCTCAAGTTGAAGCTGTCAAATTGTTCATGCTAGTTTGGTCGTGTTCTTGAATTTTGATCCTGTTCTATTCTTCTCCAACAGTTTTCTGTTATCTAACAAGCCATCAGATGGAAAACATTTCATGCGCACTCTTGTAAAGGTACTTCTTAAAAGTTCATACCTACTTCATGACTTGTACCAATCTATGTTAGTACATGTTTTTCACTATTGGTTTTGGAGTATATTTTGGAATGATTTTGAATGATTAAATACATGTTTTTTAATGATTTTGAATATGATACGAAAGATTTTAACCATTTCAAAATCACTCCCAAACGTCCCATTGAATTCTTACTATGACTGACTTGTTCTAACGATCTCATGTTTAACACCGGCTTTAGTTTTTAGCATTTTGCTATCTCAGTAGAAAGGGAAGGCCTAAGCACACAGATGTTACAAAGTACGGTTAAATTGTGTATTTAGTTTCCATGCCTTAACTTCTAGTTTAGTTTACTTTTATAAGTTTCATTATAGTCTGTATCTTTTGATCAAACCTGCTACGAAGTAATATGAAATGCACCACATATCTACACATTCTTGAGTTATACACTCAAAAAATAGTTGTACTAAGTGTATTCAATGCTCCATAACTTGCCAAGTTACACAAAGGCTTGTGTCCAAGTGTGGTCCTCTTGCTTGACACAAAGTTAGCTAAAATGATTCCTTTTACTTCTGAATCCCAAACATTCCAGTTTGATGTTAGGACACAAAGATTTATGGTCATTTACGGCCTCGAGGCACACCTTGTGAAATAGCGTTTTACTAAACCTGAATCATCGATTTTCTAATTGATAGGAAAAGCAAGATCTTGCTGAAAGAGTAATGATCACACGTCTCCACCTATATGGAAAATGGGTGAAGGTATTGCTATCATTGTAATGTTCCTTCAATACAGATTTTTTTTTTGGAAGATCATTCAACAAAGTTTTCGAACATTTATTTCTTCTGTGGTGTAGAAATGTAACCATGCTGAAATATACCAAGAGATCTCGGACGAAAACGTAGAATTAATGCGTGAGCGACTTATGCAGACTGTTATATGGCCTTCAGATGACACAAACACAGAGAAGCTTGGCTAAGGAAGTATGGGTAATTTTGAGTTCACTCTCCCTTGTCAATTCTTCTTGTATTGCATCCTTCAATCGTGATTAGTTTGATTGTTGAGTTGCCGATTGTATTTTTAGTTCAGTGAGGCAGTCTTTTTTTAGTTGAAGATATGTAAGCAATTAATCTTTATATTATGTAGAAAAGTTTATATATTCAGACTCCATTTCGGTTATTCTGATGGTGTAGTGTAGGGCTGGGATTTTCTCAGAACTTGTGCTTCTATAAATCATGCATATTGGGATGAGATGGTACCAGAATGAGCAATAATGTGCAATTTACTGGTTTCTTTGTTTGCACAGCTTGTTTAACCTAATGGCCATTAAAATGTTTTCTTTAACTTGATCGTGCTTGATTGTGCTTGAGTTTTGAGATTCTTCGGTGAGTTATTAAGTATGACTTTGAGAATAACAGAACTTTTCTTTAGTAACATGCAGAACAGAACTAATTGATTATTCAAGCAAGAGAAAGAGAACAGATTTATAAGTCTAAATCAGTCACACTTTTCCAAAGATATTTTTTAACTCATATCATACACACATACACCAAATAGATCAACAGATAAAAGATTCATTTACTCGAGTACTTTGCTAAATAGTTGTCAATAGAAGTAGGAAATCATGTTAGACCTACTTTTGAACATCATAGAGCAAAACTTGAAATGAGAACGAAAGAAGACAGGGCAATGAAATTAATGAATTGTGATCAAAGCAAACACTGTAATTTTGTGTAAATATATCATTAAAGTCAATTCAACTGTAAAATGTACTATGTACCTCGAACATTGCATCTTTGTACACTGTAAAACAGAGCCCAGTGCGTTATTCCATCAACTATCCAGCACTTCAAACAAGCCACTTGGAGGATTCAACCATAGAAGGGGCCTGTCCATAATTATGACGAATCATAAGAGATTATGTTCTATTAATCAACAACAATACTCTAATTTAACCATCTGAAATTCTGCTGCCTCAACAACGTTTCATTTTTACTATTGATAAACAAAAAGTTGGAATACAAGCAATCTAGTTGACTCAAGTGCATCTCTTTCTCCTGGATCATAGAATAATGATGCTTCTTCTCCCAAAAGCCACATTTATGTGGAATAAATATGGATCAACACCACAACAGACCCTCCAAGCTTTTCCCATTTATACACCTGTTCTAATATAAGAGTTGCAAATTTAAGCTCAAAAGACTGATTCATATGATTTTCTCAATTTGTTTATATAAATGGCCTTGCTAGAACTTTAAATCATATTCATCAACTATTCCAAATCAATACAAATTAAATTGGAAACAAGAGGGGATTAAGTATAGTATCTGGACATGTTATAACAACAATTACTTGGAAGTTTGCATCTGTTCGAAGGAAAGGAGACATCAGCCAAAATTGCATTACTCTCCTTGGATGCTTGAATAATATAAGCTATCCCTGAAAAGGTACATGTTAGCTAAACAGTCATTCATTTGGATTGCGGTGTTTTTCCTTAACAAGGCTTCAGGATATATTTCCCGTAATGAAGCATGGTACTGGGTTTTGGTAACCGCTGGAACAATGTATGAAAGCGACAATTTGTTGCCTAGATACTAAACACTCGAAACAGAACAGCAGTTGAGATAACCTGATGAATAATGGAACTTTTGATAGGCAATATTTACGAGTCTCATATTACACTTTCAAGCCAAACTAATCATACGGCCATTTGATTTCAAAAAGAAGGAAAAGAAGAATTTGAGAGAGAGAGATCAAAATTGCCACCAAAAGTGGCTGGTATGCATCCAAAAAAGATTTGTATGAGTAACCTAGAGATCAAGAGCCGCCCGTGGAATATACTGGAGCTTTCATGTTTTCCTGCAAAAGGCCAATGACAAGAAGCAAACACTTGGTAGGTTAGAGCTCACGTTACATTTCTTTATTCATAAAATATTTCACAGCAAATCAAGATTTCCTCAAGTTTCACAAATCTCTTCGGAGAGACACAGAGAGAACCGTAAAAGTTATCCATCACAATTCACAAAAAAAAAAAAAAAAAAAAAAAAAAAAAAAAAAAAAAAAAAAAAAAAAAAAAAAAAAAAAAAAAAAAAAAAAAAAAAAAAAAA